TCCAGGTGCATTACGACTGGCAAGGCGTGCATTACAGCATGCAGGGGGCTCATTCCAGCCTTGCAACCATACTGCCTGTTTAGCTAAGATGTTTACTATGCAGGATATTACGGCCTTCATGGCTGAGATGTTTGCAACGCAGGATCTGCCTGATGCCAGTCCAGCATTCACTCTGGTTTTGGAGTGTCTCTTTGTCTCTCTCTTTGTGTCTCTTTTGCTATCTCTATCGTCGTCAGGTATCTCCACCTCGTGAACCAAACCCCTATGTCGAGGCCAGTCCCCGACAACACTCCTCTGTGGGAAGCTCCCCAGTGGGTTCCAAGATGGGGTCCCCGCCCAGCTAGGGACCTCCTTCAAGTCACCACAGACTGTGCCTCACAAAGGTAGAGAGAGAAATTGAACCTCTGGTGCCCCTTCCTATGTCAGAAGCAATGTTTAGAAGCTGCAAGCTTGGCCTCCGACTTTATCTCTTTGTTCCTCTGTCCTATTGGTGTTGGTAAGTGCTGTCCAGTCAGTTCTGTTGCATAGTGACCCTGTATAGTGTTTCCACGGAGCGGCTGATGAGTTTGAACCGCTAGCCTTGTGATTCAAACTGACCTTGAGGCCCAGTGCTTGGCCTACAGTGCCACACCAGGACTCTTCATCCATCTATCTTTCCCTTCAAGTCTTCTCTTCCTGCTGCCCGACTCCCTCCCATGTCCACCTTCCTGTCCTTTAAAAAACCAAAAGTTGGAGTTGGGTCTACCCTGACTCATAGAGACCCCGTGTGTGTCAGACAGAACTATGCTCTGAAGGGTTTCCAAAGGCTGAGTTTTTCGGGGGTCTCCAGGTCTTTTGTCATAAGCATCTCTGGGTAGTCTCAAACTTCCAACCGTGAGTTTATAGCTGAGTGCATTAACCGTTTTTACCACCCAGGGACCCCTTTCCATTGTGCCCCTACTTTTCCCCCTCCAAGTCTAACTCACTTCCTCTCTCACATCTCCCCTCCCCATGGCCTTATACCCTTTTTTAAAATGCTATTACAATTGGTATTTGAAATTTCTAAGCACGAATTTATAATATAAAACTGACAAAACTTTCTAGCTGCATGAGTGTTAGAGCAATAATGCAAAATTACCAGAGAAGGCACTAAATAGGTAGTGATTATTCAAGCAGAAAAACTCATTTAAATGATTTAAGAGAAGTTATTATAACACAAGATGTTCCCAGTGACCCTCAAATATTTATCTTCTCTGTATATAGAACTTATGCTGCTGCCCCAGACATAGTCCAAGAATCGAACTAGCACAAGCTAGAACGTGCTAGGGTATGTGAGGTCTCGTTTAAAACTGGATGGAGGTCTGTCCTTTTGACCAATTAAAGTGGGAAAGAAAAAGGCACTTTTAATCTGGAACTGAAGCCATTCCCAGAAGTCACCTTTCAGCCAAATAATAGATTGGTCTGTAAAATAAATAATAACGCTTCTGAGAAATGCGCTCCTTAACAGTGTCATACTACAAGTGTGAAGGCCGAACCACGTGACACACCAAAACGACCGTCTATAAAGTGTTTTGTGTAGTGTTTCAGCAGAAATTTATTAGTTTAATAAAAATGTCTTGGTAGTTTGTTATAACAATAAAAAGTATTTTCATAAGCCCAGTTTACATGCATCAATATGCCCAAAAGGCTAAAACTTTGTTCATCTACTCTTTGAACCTTCTAATGTGTGTGGTGCTATAGGATGAGCACAGGACTGCAAGGCCGGTTTGAACCACAAAGTCGATGGTTCAAACTCACCATTTGGAACCGACTTGATGGCACTTAATAATTACAGCATCATTGGGCAGAGCTGTCATTATTATTAATTACAATGATATTTTGAACCACATGGTTTTGTCTGGACAAACTACAAGCACACATTGCTGTTTTTATTGCTGATTGCTTTTTTTTTTTAATGTTTTATTGTGAATTATGTGATAGTTTACATGGGAGAACATTGGTTTTACATTCACTGACTGCTTTTATAGTTGAAGATTTTGTCAAGTTTTCTGGTGCTTTACTTAGAATGTACTGGTAAGTAGTATTTGTAAATTTACATCAGTAACTTTTTTGAGAATGAAGTATTAAGGAATTAGAGGAAAAGAGGAAGAAAAATCAAGAGGCTTCCACTCAGTAACTAAAAATATTGTCATTCAATGTGGGAAGATTTTACAAAACGAGTTTGCTGTTAGATTTTACATAATTGAGGAAATACTACATTTGGGCAACTTACAACTATATTTCTCACATATTTTCGATAATTAAAATTGATGATAAACTTTACTAAGGATTCCATGGGCTCAAGTACAGCAACAGTTGTGAGGATGACACAGGACTGGGCAGGATTTTGTTCCGTTGTGCATAGGGTTGCTGACTTGGAACCAACACAAGAGCACTAAACAACAACAACAAGGATTGTCTATGGTCTGGTACAGAAGCAGGTCCGTGGGGAGAGAAGAGTTGTCACATTGGGTGGCACCAACCCTAGTGATGTCCCTGCACTTTAGAACCATCAATTATACAAGACCAAATGGGCAGTATTTGCCTGAAAGCAAAATAAGAAGGCAAGGAGAAGCAAGGAAACCGTATGAACAGAAACAGGGAAGGCAGGGTGAAAATGGGAAGAATGCCAACACATGGCAGGGATAGCAACCAATTTTAGGAAACAATTTGTGTATGAAGTGTTGAATGGGAAACTAATTTGTTGCATAAAATGCAGTAAAATGTTTAAAAATAATGTGGCAAAGAAAAACATTTCAGTACTGACTACGTGTAAGAATGTGAAAAGACGCACAATGAATGGGCTGTGAAGGGGCAAACATACAGAAAGCACTTTGAGGGATGTAGAAAATTGGACCCTGTAAGCAGAGTAAAGCTGCTCTACACAGTTTCTGAGGCTGTAAATGTTTACCAGGGGAGTGGCTGCTGGGTTCAAACCTCTGACCTTTCTGTTAGCAGCCCAACGCTTAACCCCCTGCACCACTGAGTCTCTTTGCAGTGGATAAAGGCAGGCCAAATGAAAGCCCTGTCTTGCTCAGGGTCATGTCCCCATGTTTGCTTCTCTTCATTATCCCGATTTCTTCATTCTTCACTTTCCTGCACCCTCTACTAGTCTTCGATGAGCATTTCTGGAATGAATTCTAGACTCTCCAAGAGACGGATTGACACAATGGCTGCTCCAATATACTAAAGTACATGAAGATGGTCCAGGACTCATCCACCAGGTCACCCTGAGTTGGAGCTGCCTCAACACCAAGTCACTAACAACCAAGGAGCTAGAAGAGACTTAGGCAGAGAGGGTGGTCCAACCTCCCCACCCTCAGACCTTCTTTATCGGCGTTTCCGCACCCCTCTCCCCAAACCATTTCTGCCCATTCCTTGGCCCAGGCTCATGTCTCTCATCACCTTCCCTGGCTCCTGGGCTGCTCTCCTTGACAGGTGCCATCGGATGTCCTTGGCTCCTTCCAGCGTTTCTCAGGGTCCTGACAACGATGTCTTCACACCTCCGGTTTCCCCTCAATAAATGTTGCTCTTTAGAGCCCCTTCTCCCTTTTACTTTCTTTATTCCCCATCTCGTTTTCCAAACACATTTCTTCCCTCTTCTTCCCCATCTGTCCGCCATTCTCCCCCTCCCTCCGGGTCTCCTCCCCTGCCCCCTCTCCCCATCACATAACTCCCCCATCCCTTGTCCCTCTCTTCCTCCTTCTCTTCCAGTGCCCACCCCTGCACCTCAGCGCCCTCTCCTGGTTCCCCCACCCTCCATATCTCCACCCCCTCACTCTCGTCTTGTCCAGTTACCCCCTCCCCTCAGGTCTCTCGGTGCCCCTTTCAGTTTCTTCATAGCCCCTTCGTTTCCCTATCTTGTCCATCTCCCCTCGGGTCTCTCACATCCCCTTAAAGCTCCCTCCACATCCCTAGCTGTAGCTCCCTCATGCAGCCTGTAGGGCGCCCCCTCCTGGTCCCTTTCCACGATGTCCCCACACTCTCCTCTTGTCCATCTCCCCCACCCCCTCCTTTCCCTCCCCTTGTCTATCTCTTCCTAGGTCTCTCGAGCACCCCCTTCAGGTCCTTATCAATCTCTCCCTGGGTTTCTCGGGCGCCCCCTTCAGGTCTCCCTTCCACATCTGCATCTAGTAAGCTTGCCCCTATCCTGTCGGTCAGGCGCCCCCTCCAGGTCCACCACTAGGCGCCCCTTCAACGTTATTCCATCCTTGCCCTGGCTCCGCCCCTTAATCCCCTTTTCTGCGCCTGCGCACTGCTCCCTCGCACTAGCTCCCTCGCACTAGGGTCTCTGCGGGCATCAGATGCAGCAGCACGCGGCTGCAGCAGCACGAGGCGGAGTCCACGCAGGGCAGGACGGGGCGGGCTGTGTCCAGGCCACGCCTCCTGCGGTGAGGTTGCGGGACGGCTCACGCAGGCGGGAAAGGAGCGTGGTTGGGCGCGTGGACGGGCGCCCACGGTGGGGGGAGGGGCTGGGAAGGGTACTGCCTGGCACTGCAAGGAAGGGTGGTTGTCCAGCTTCAGGCCCTTTCGGCCAGTCTGCGGGCTGCCCCACTAGTGCCTATTTGGCGCAAATATTGTTGAGTCTGAAACAGTGCAAAGACAGAAAGCCTGTCGGGAATCCCAAACTTGTAGGCCTAGAAATGTGCATTTTCCAAAGAACCGCTCAGATCCCAGCCTCTTCTTTTTCGGAATATGCATTTTCCAAAAGCTTGCTCAGGCTCCAACCTACTAGACGTAGGAATGGGCATCTTCCAGAAGCTGCTCAGCTCCAAAGCTGTTCATTCTAGAGTCCTCTGGCCAAAAGTCTGCTTTAACCTAAATCCTGCATCAGCTCACACCTTCCTAGACCTGGGCCAGGTCGGCTTAGTCCTGGACCCTACTAGACCCGATGCCTTGGAGACCAGAACTGTGCTGGGGGGGCAACCCTCACCCCACGGAGCCCTGCTAAAATGCCACTTCCTTCAACAGATCCAGTCATAATGGCGGCGACTGAGGTCCCTGGCCCTTCCGAGCAGTTCACCAAAATCAAACAGTTGGAGTTGATTCCAGAAAAGGCCCCAGAGCAGGAGGAGGAGGAAGACGGGGTGCGCCGAGTGAAGGAGCGCCCGAGCTCCGTTGATGGGGAGGCCCAGTCTCTGTCAGGGGCCCTGTGGCCCTGGACCCCGGAGGGAGAGCTGGAACTGGAGTTGGTGCCGTCCTCGGCCGAGGAGAAGGAGAAGCACATTCTCACCCTGCAGACCGTGCACCTCACCTCCGAAGACTTGCAGGTGGAGGGGATGAGCTGGCTGCCCACACAGCCCCAAGACGGCATGCAGGTGGTGGTACCGCAGGCGGACGTCGTGCTGCCTTCGCTGCTGTGGCTGCAGCCCTCGTTGGGCGAGGAGACCCCGCAGAGCATGCACCAGTGCGTCACCATCAGCATCCAGGACCACGTGTACTCGCTGCAGGAGATGGAGGTGATGCAGGTCCAGCTACTGGAAGAAAGCGTGGCCACAACCAGTGAGGACAGCAGGCTGACTGTCAACCTGGCGAAGACCACTGGCTTGGTCAAGGTAGAACTGGTCTTAAAAACGGACCCTTACGGTGGAAATAAAAGAAAGTCACTTTTTAAAAGTTGTCCTTGTGGAGTTGTATATACAAGCTCTTTTGCAGTTTAAAATTCCACACAGGAAAAATACTTCCCAGAAGACCTTATTTATTTAAAAGGTCTTCTAATTAAAATCTTATAAGGTACATTGGATTAAAAAAAATTTTTTTTAATTAAAAAGTGAGGTGAAAACCTCCTAAACCCGTGACGCTAAATAATTAGTAATTTGGCTGTAGTGGGACCTCTTCGGCATTTCTTTCATTTTTTTGTTTTGCACTATGCATTCTATGGTCACATGGGACAGAGTTGAATCCGATTGTAATGAATCGCATTGTCTTTGTTCCAATCCTTATTTTTGTTTATTAGCTAGGGAAAGGTCAGGAGAGGACCCAGCTGTCGGAGGAAGGTGGATTCCAAGAGCAAGCAGAAGCTCCTCTCTTTCTCCTAGAGGCCAGGCCTGAGGAGGAAGGGAGAGACGAGATTGTGGTGACACTATCCAATTTATACATGGAAGAGCAAGAAGATAGACCAACACCGAATGAAGACAGTGCTGAAAACGCCAGCTCTGGGAAAAGGCAGAGAAAGACCAAGGGTAGGTCTGCCCACCTTGTGTAACAGTGTGCACGAAACAGATCAACAGGTTGTCTTAATGGGAAAAAGACTGGATGAGTGTTCTAGGGTGGTTTAAAACAGGAATGTACTCACTTATGGTTTTGGAGACCACAAATTCGGAATCAGGGTGTGAGCAGGGCTGTGCTCTCCTTGAAGGCTCTAGGGAAGGATCCTCCCTCACCTCTTCCAGGCTCTGGTGGTTGCCGGCAATCTTTGGCGTTCCTTGGCTTGTATGGGCAGCCCTCCAGCCTCGATCTCCGTCTTCACCTGGCATTCTCCTGTGTGTATGGATATTTGCTAATATCCTACCTGGCACTGGAGTTAGGTCACACCCTCATTATTGTAATTCGATTGTATTTACAAAGACCCTATTTCCAAATCAGGTCCCATTCCTAGGTTCTGGGTCCATGTAAATTTGGATGGGGCAGGGGACACAATTCAGCTCAGTGTTACTGTTGTTAGGTGCTGTCCAGTTGGTTCCAAGTCATACTGATCCTGTGCTCGACAGATGAAAACACTGCCCAGTCCTGCACCATCCTCAAAATTGTTACGTTTCAGGCCATTTTGTTGCTACCATGTCAGTCCATCTCATTGAGCATCTTCCTCTTTTTCGCTGACCCTCCACTTAATCCTGCATGACGTCTTTCTCTAGAAACTGGCCCCTCTTGACAACATGTCAAAGTACGAGAGATGAAGTCTCTCCATCCTGTCTAGTAAGGGACATTCGGACTGCACTTCTTCCAAGACAGCTTTGTTTGGTCTACTTGGAGTCCATGACACTTTCTGTATTCTTCACCAACACCACAATTCAAATGCATTGAGTTTTTGACAGGCTTCATTATTTTTTGTCCAACTTTCCCAATCATATGAGGCCACTGAAAATACCATACCTTAAGGTCAGGCACACCTTTGCTCTTTAACACTTCAAAGAGACCTTTTGCAGAAGATTTGCCTAATGCCATATGTTGTTTGATTTCCTGACTGCTGCTTCCATGAGTGTTGATTGTGGATCCAAGCAAAATGAAGTATTTGACAACTTCAATCTTTTCTTATTTATTGGGCCAGTTGTGCGGATTTTTGTTTCTTTACACTGAGGTGTATTCCATACTAAAGGCTGTGGTCTTTGATCTTCATCAGTAAGTATTTCAAGTTCTCTCCACTTTGAGCAAGCAAGGTTGCGTCATTTGCACGTTGCAGGTTGCTAATGAGTCTTCCTCCAATCCTGATACTATGTTGTTCTTCATCTAATCCAATTTCTCTGATTATTTGTACAACATACAGAATGAAGTAAGGATACGACTCTGGCATACACTTTTCCTGATTTTAAACTATTCGGTGCCCCTTTGGTTTGTTTCAAGCAACTACCCCTTGGTCTATGTACAGGTTCCTCATGAGCACAGTTAAGTATTCTGGAATACCTATTTTTCACAATGTTATCCATACTTTTGGACTCCTGGTGTGGTGCTGTGGGTGCTGAACTGCAAAGTCGGTTTAAACTGCAAGGTTGGCGGTTCAAGCTCACCAGTTGCTCCTCAGAAACCCCATTCAGGGTTGCTATGGATCAGAATCGACTTGACGGCACTTAACAACAACATCCATAGTTTAGTATGATCCACACAGTCTAATGTCATTACATAGTCTATAAAGCATAAATGAACATCTTCTGATATTCTCGGTTTTTAGCCAAGATAATTTTGGTATCAGCAATAATGTCCCTGTTCCACATCCCCTTCTGAATCCGGTTTGAATTTATGTCAGCTCATTGCCAAACGCACCAGCTGCTTCTTGAAAACCCTTTACAGGGTTGCTATGAGTCGGAACCAACTTGACAGTACTTAACTTGTCAATATTCTGCTGTAAGTGTTTTTGAATTATCTTCAGCAAAATTTTACTTGCACGTGACATTAATTACACTATTTGATGATTTTCACATTCTGTTGAGTCACCTTCCTTTTAAATAGGTACAAACATGGATTTCTTCCAGTCAGTTGACCAGGTAGCTGTCTTCCAGATTCCTTGTTATAGACAAGTAAGAGCTGCATCTGTTACTTGAAACATTTCCATTTGTATGAGTTCCTAGAGTCTTGTCTTTCCCCAGTGCCTATAGTGACGCGTGAATGTCTTTTTTCAGTAACATTGGTTCTTGATCATATGCTTTCTCTTGAAATGATTTACCACCAGCCAGTTCTTTTTGGTACAGTGACTCTGTGCATTCCTGCCATCTTTTGGTGCTTCCTACATTGTTCAATATTTTCTCTCTAAAATCCTTCAGTGTTACAACCCAAAGATCGAATTTTTTTCTTCAGTTCTCTCAGTGTGAGAATTGCTGAATGTGTTCTTCCCTGTTGGTTTTCTAACTCCAAGTCTTTGCACATTTCACATATAATACTTGGCTTTGTCTTCTTGAGCTGAGCTCTGAAATTTTCTGTTCAGCTCTTTTACTTCATCATTTCTTCCAGTTGCTCTAATTTCTTTACATTCAAGAACAAGTTTCAGAGTTTCTTCTTACATACACTTTGGTCTCTTCTTTCCTTCCTGTCTTTTTAATGACATGTATGATGTCCTTGGAAACCCTCTACAGGGTCACTATGGGTCAGAACTGACTCGACAGCACTTAACAACAACAACAACAAAATCATTGTTGATGTCATCTCACAACTACTCTGGTCTTCAGTCATTAGTGTCTAACTATTGAATCTGTACATGAGATTGTCTCTAAATTCAGGTGGGATATACTCAGGGTGGTTTTTTTTTTTTTAATGTTTTATTGTGAATTATATGATAGTTTACATGGGAGAACTTTAGTTTTACATTCATTCCATCGTATATCATCTCACTGCCATGGTTCCAATCCCCTCCATGCATCATCAACCACCCAAAGGGTATATTCTAGAAACCCGCCCCCTACACTTCCCCCTCCTCCCCCTAGTTTTCGGCCCACAGTCCAAAGTCCCCAGCCACTTCATTACTCCACGTCATCGTCTCTGTCTTTATCTCAGGCATCTCTGTTTCTCACAGGGTCCCTGTAAGTTAGAACTAACTCAGTGACGGTGGGCTGGGGGCTTTTGTTCTACTGTCAAGCTACATTAGGCCAAATGGATGTGCCAAGATACTTAAATGGACTTAAAACAGAATTTGAATCTCTTCTTCCAAAGACAGATTTTTTACAGATACGTATGTTTTGCATCTTCTTCTTGTAGGAATGAAGCGGACCTTCCAGTGTGACATCTGCAAGTTCACCTCTACTAGAGTTTCGAGTTATAATCGTCACGTGAAAATTCACACCAATGAGAAGCCCCATGCGTGCCACCTCTGCCTGAAAGCCTTCCGCACTGTCACCCTGCTGCGGAACCACATCAACACCCACACAGGTGAGGCGGCTGAGAGCAGCTTCCTCCCAAGGATGCGTGCAAAGCTCAAACCCCCTTATGTCTGTGCCACAAGAATGCATCATTTCACACTTCAACTCTCCCTGTTTCTTACTTGCTTTGTTGTTGTTGTTGTTGTAAAAGGAAGCTTTATTGTTTTCATTTGGTCCAGGTTTGCGAGAAGTGGGGTTCTAGGGTGTTGACTATGCTGCCTCTGTGGAGAGCAAGGTTCAGGCAGAAGCTTTGAGGAGAGCAGGGGAATGTTGAAGGCTCTTCACAGGTTGCTGGGCTCCACAGGCTCTTCCTAGTCGTGCTTGAGGGGGATCCTCTCAAAGAGGTATTCGCCTAGCCCTGCCTGGGGACCCGCCATCCTACGGAGGAGATTGGTCAAGTGGTCGCCCATCTTCTTGATCATTTTCATCTCCTTGTCAAGGAAATGGTTCTCCAGAAAGTCACAGAGGTGGGGGTCTGTGTGGGTAACACCCACTGCATACAGATCCAGAAGGGACTGGTTCAGGTTCATCTCCAGGGTCAGGGCGGCTTCCATGACGTCCAGGGTTCTTTCTCACTCATCTTGGGATGGCTTCTGCACGTCCTGGAAGAGTGCGCAACCACCATGCTGGTTCTGCAGTTTCAAGAGACTGCGCACTTCTCCTTCGCCAACTCACGGTAGAAGTGTCCCACACCTTCCAAGGCCATATCATCGCAATCCAAATAGAAGCCCAGAGAGAGGTAGGTGTAAGAGACCCACGGATGCAGATTAACCAGACGGTTGACGCCAGCCTCTGCTTCAGCGGAATAATTCTGATGGATCTGAGAACTCATGGTTAGTCGGAGATTTGGAGCTAACCACACACGTACGCAAAAAACGGTGTTTAGCTGGTCCCGGTAACAGGGAATGGTCAAGAAGATGGTCCTGGAGAAGAGATTGCACCTAAAGAAGATGTTTGAGGCTGGAGGTGGGAGAGTCCCCAGATCTCTTCTGTCCAAACACTGTCGAAGCAAGACACAGATCCATGGGACCGCAGCGCAAACGTCTCTTATTTGCTTTTAAACACTGGATATTCCTAGGATTTCCTTCAGAATATCTGTGGAATCCCTGGGTGGTGCAAACAGTTAACTTATTCGATTGCTAACTGAAAGGTTGGTGGTTCGAGTTCCCACAGAAGCGCCTTGGAAGAATGGCCTGGCTATCTACAGAAACCTTCCTCTCTCCACAGCTGGTTCAATAATTCATTGCAGTGACCCCACAGAACTCAGACACCATATTCACCGTTATAGGGACTATTGGGGAAGGTTATCCTCTAGCCCACAACTCCTTGGCCTGGCCCCTACCCTGCTCAGGTAATGTTACAAAGCAGCCCTTTTAGGGTTACCAGTAAGTGTCCAAAGGACACTCCACTCTGCCATCTGCCTCAGCCTGAAGGCATTCCGCTGTGGCACCCCATTCCACAACGAGCCTCCTGCCCAGAGGCATTCGGCTTTGTCTGCTCTGTCTGCTGTCTGCTGCCACCACTCCCTCCAGTGTCACAGCCTTCTGTCCCTGAATTGAGGTTCAAAGCGCAGGGATCTGGGGCTCCAAAGGATGTGCCCCACTCCTGGCTCTTCCTCTTTGCTGGTAGTGAGGTCCCCCCATCCTCTGCTTCTGAGATGGCTCATTTTATACCCAACAGGATGGCAAAATTGTCCCATCACAGTTAGCCCCATATAATCCATCAACATCTTCCTCCACCATCTCTTAAACAGATTCATCCAGGAAAAACCACGTGGTGGGAGTTTTCAAAGACTGAGGTTGGACGTCGCAGTAACAGCTAACTGCATGGTACCAGTTTTTTCCAAGAGACTCGCCATCGGCAACCCTGTGGAGCACAGTTCTACTCTGACACATGCGGGGTTGACACGAATCAAAACCAACAATAGTTATGTTGTTGTTGTTGTTAAGTGCCATTGAGTGGGTTCTGACCCATAGCAACCCTGTAGGGGGTTTCCGAGGAGCAGCTGGTGAGCTTGAACCGCCGACCTTGCAGTTCAAACGGTTTTGCAGTCTGGCGCATTAACCCACAGCACCACACCAGGACTCCAACAATAGTTATAGAGCCCCTTAATTTTCAAAGCATTTTGAGGAGCCCTGGTGGCACCATGGTTGAGTGCTATACTGCTAACCAAAAAGTCAGCGCTCCAGCCCCCTCAGCTGTTTTGAAGGAGAATGTTGTGGCATTCTGCTTCTGCGCAGATTTAGTCTTGGAATCCTCTGTCTTACAGGGTCACTGTGTGTCAGGATCAGTGGGTATGGGCCCAGGAGGCTTGTGCAGTGTGGCGCTGTGGGTTAATGTGCCACACTGCAAAGTCGGTTTGAACTACAAGGTTGATGGTTCAAGCTCCCCAGCTGCTCCTTAGAAACCCTATACAGGGTCACTATGGATTGGAACTGATGAACGGCACTTAATAACAGCAAGAAAATAATGAAAAGATAGGGCTGGAGTCTCAGTGTGGTGCAAGGCTGATTTGAACCACAAGTTTGGTGGTTCAAGCTCCCCACCCGCTCCTTACAAACCCTATACAAGGTCACTATGAGACAAAACTGACTCCGCAGTCCTTAACAACAACAATCTTGTATGAAATGTGTAGGAACCAGGCCGTATAAGTGCGAAGACTGCGACATGGCATTTATTACCAGTGGAGAACTCATCCGACACAGACGCTACAAACACACTCATGAGAAGCCCTTCAAATGCCCCATGTGCAAGTACGCTAGCGTGGAGGTGAGTGTGCCCCCTCCCCACCGCCCCAAGCTTGACCCTGACTCAGGACGCTCTTACGGTAAAACCAGACCCAAACCCCAAACCCAAACTTACACCCACCCTGTAGGACAGGGTGGGATTGCTCCTTAGGGTTTCTGAGACTAGAAATCTTTATGGGATCAGACAGCCTCATCTTTTCCCAGCGGAGTGATCAGTGGGTTTGAACCACTAACTTTGCGGTTCCTGGCCCAACACTTAACGCACTGTGCCACCTATTACGCTGTGACCTACTACAGGCTGATCATGATGGATTCTAGTTTTAAACCTGCACTAGAATCCAGTATGACATAGTTTTTATTAAAGACATTCTTCATAGAAAATCAATACAGGAACTAATACACAGTCTATTTCTCAAATTTTGAATGAAAATTGGATTTCTCTTTTTCTTGATTACCAATTAGTGAAGGCAATACATAAAGGTGTACAAATTAGGAATAAAAATTACTTCTCCTCAAGAAACCATCCTCAAGTTTGCTAAAAAGTTCTGCCTCGGGTGTTCTGCAGAAATCACTCTCACAAGATCAGATGGGATTTACCCACCTAACCAGAGTTGTGGCGAATTTGTTTTTTCAGATTCCCCTCATTCCAGGTGCAAAGCAGCTTGCTTACAATTTTAAGCTGAGCCATTTTGCATGTTTAATTACAGAAAGACTCCTACCCTTTCCAAATGTCAGGGGAGTGTCTTGTTATTTCACCAGGGGTTTGATTTGTATTGTATCAGGGTTAGCAAGGAGCTTTGGCAATGCAGTGGTTAAGCATTTGGCTAAAACTGACAGGCCAGAGGTTCAAATCCACCAGCAGCTCCACAGGAGAAAAGATCTGGTATTCTTTGTGCATAAAGATGATAGCCTAGGAAGCCCTATAGGGCAGTTCTGCACTGTACTCCCAGGGTACACTATGAGTCAGGACTGAGTTGACATGAAGGGTCTGCAGTTTAGCAGTACATTAAAAGAAGGGACAACAGAGCCCTACAATTGGCTTTTCATTGTCTGCTTCTACCAGCTGATTCTTAAGCTGCTCCCCCCACACCCGCCCCTCATTTCTTAGGAAGCCCAGTTGGAAAAGGCTGAAGAGTGTTCCCTGGAGTGGATCTAAGTTAAAGGGGACAGTGAAAAGTTTAAATATAGAAATGATGCAATCATGTTTCATAAATTGGGGGATTTCACAGATGGGGTCAGAATCTTATTCCAAGAATTATTTTGTCTGCTGTTGCTAATTTTAAAAGGTTAAAAGGTTGCAACTGTATTATGAGAACCCAAAACAAAGGTTTCAAAACACAAAGGCATTTTAGAATCCTAAGCCTGGAATAACCTTTTAGCTGGTGTCCTGTGAGGTCCAACACCGCCTTCCCAGGCCAGTTGCCATTGACCTTAGAAACATCTGCCACTGGAACCCTGTGGAGCAGACCAGCTCTGATATACGTGGGGTCACCATAAGCTGGAGTTGACGCCATAGCATCTGGTAAACAAAGATCTCATACCTGTACTTAGCAGCAAGGCAGACTTCTCAGTCCACGTGCCACCAGACAGGGGCCACCGATTTACACGGGTGTCCAATCTGCTAAGGAACCCTGGTGGTCCAGTGGCTTAGCACTCATCTATAACTGGTCAGCGGTTCATACCAGGCCTTTGAATCAGTTGTTCAAAGCAATTTGAACCAATTCACTCATGACTAAGGAAGCAAAACCAGACCAGACCCCTATTTTTAAAATTTGGATGATCCGGAACACTAACTGGAATGGGAAACATTGGAATGGGGGCTCAGAAGAGCCGTAGGGAGGGAGCCCTTCAGGAGTCTGATGCAGGAGACTGCATTATTGACAAGACCACAGAGAGAGCCACACGGTCAAAGCAGTTCGTTCAGCCGCCATCTTTGAGCCGGGCACTGTTGTTCCTGACTCTGCTCAAAATCCGATGGACAAGAGGTCAGCTTGCTGTGCATCGTGGATGCTGCCCTGCTTTTTGAGAGGGAGATTGTTTTCCATTCCTGGTATTGTTTTAAAATTTGAATGAAAAAAATTCAGTGCTGTTTCAGTTTTACTTCCTTATCCATGATAGAACCAGGAAGGAAAAGTTTGAATCCCTGATTCAAACCCACCAACCACTTCTTAGGAGAACGATGTGGCAGTCTGTCTCCATGAAGACACACAGCCTTGGAAACTGGGGGGCATTTCTACTCCGTCCTACAGGATCACTCGGAGTCACAATCAAACAGATTTGAAGGGGTCCTGGTGGCACAATGATTAAGCACACCACTGCTTGCCAGTCCAGCTCACACTCACAGGTCTATCAGAGAAAACACTCTTGTGACGATGACAACCTAGGAAACCCTGTGGAGCAGTTCTGCTCAATCACATGGGTTCACCATCCCCTAACCAACAGCTGAAGGTTCTCCCTTGATGTGCGCAAAGGAGACTGCCCTGCTCTCTCCACTGAGCCATCCTCATAGATACTTTGGTGTTTCCGAGTGTGTACTGCCTTACACTTAGTAAAACATCAGAGAGATTGCAGCTTTCCTTTTGTAAACTGAAGAGTTGACTATGTACGCCTCTTGAAGCAACTGTTCATTAGTCCCTAAAGGAACTCAAACATAATGAATTTTTTAAAAATTGCCCTCGACAGAAAATCCCAAGAAACAGCTTGTTCAGGTTTCTCATTGTGGGGCATGTGTCCTGATCCAATATTGGTGTTGAAACCCAGTCCCCGTGAGCAGTGTGCACCGAGTTCTCACTCTGTCTTGTGTTTCCTCACCAGGCCAGTAAACTGAAGCGTCACATCCGCTCCCACACGGGGGAGCGCCCCTTCCAGTGTTCCCTCTGCAGCTACGCCAGCAAAGACACCTACAAGCTGAAGCGCCACATGAGGACACACTCCGGTGAGTTTTTCAAGTGTAAGGTCAGGAAGGAGCCCTGGTAATGCCATGGCTAGGCACCCGACCACTGAACAAAAAGTCAGCCGTCCCACGTTCAAACCCACCAGCCGCTACGCAGGAGAAAGACGAGACAGTTTGCCAGCCTTGGGGAGCCTACGGGGTAGTTTTCCTCTGTCCTGCAGGCCCAAGAGTCTGTCGTGAAATGATCAGTCGCCACCAGACATTAGGAAGATCACAGATGGGGGCACTGTTGACACATCTGTACAAGGGGGATTCCACTACCTTTCCATTACATTTTTCTGTGGACTTTTGGAAGCCCCCCCTTGTATTTGCCAGGGGGATTAGACGTCTTAGGCGGGAGTTTGAAAAAGGCCCAGCTGTCCTTCATCCAGGCTCGGGCTGCACCCACAAGGCTACTCTCTGAGTTTGTTGTGTTGTGTGTTGCAGGGGAGAAGCCCTATGAATGCCTTGTGTGCCACGCACGGTTCACCCAGAGCGGTACCATGAAAATGCACATCCTACAGAAACACAGCGAGAATGTCCCCAAGTATCAGTGTCCCCACTGCACCACCGTCATTGCAAGGAAAAGCGACCTACGTGAGTAGCTGACGTTGAGCCGATTCTGGCTCCTGGGGACCCGTGTGAGTCAGGTTGGAAGTGGCTCCCCAGACCCTTCTTCCAAAGCAACTTTGGGTGAACTCAAAGCACCAACCCTTTTGGTTTGCAGACGAGCACGTTAACCATTTGTACCACCCCGACCCCCGAGGGTTCCGTCTCAAATACATCAAAAAAACCCCATCAGATCCAACTCATGGCAACCGCATGTGTGCAGAGTGGAACTGACCCAATCGCTTTTCAAAGCTACGACCTTTCAGCAACTCATCTCCAGGTCTTACTTCCAAGAACCTCCAGGAGAGTTCGAATCACCCACCTTTCAGCTTGTAGCCAAATATTAACCCTTTGTGGGCCACCCAGGCCTCCTGCGTGAGTGGCCTGTATGGCACTGAGTATTCACCCAGGAATCCTAGAGGGGCTATGAGCTTAGCTGGACTGCTAACTGCAAAATTAGCAATTCAAACCCACCAGGGAGAAGCTCCCAGAAGGATTTACAGTCTCAGAAACCCTAAATAGCAGTTCTTGTCTTCCTTGAGGGTCCCTGTGCGTCAGAACCGACTTGATAACACTGGATGTTAGTGGGGCTGGTGGGTGGTGGCTGGTGGGTGGGCTATCGAGTACGACTCATAGAGACCCTGTAGCGGATTTCCGAGGCTGGGGTGGTGCTGTGGGCTAATGCGTCAGACTGCAGAGCCATTTGAACTGCAAGGTCGGTGGTTCAAGCTCACCAGCTGCTCTTTGAAAACCCTATATAGGGTCGCTATGGGTCGGAATCCACTCAACAGCACTTCACAACAACAAATCTTTACAAGAGCAGAAAATCTCATCTTTCTCCCACAAAGCAAATGGTAGATTTGAACTGCTGACCGTGAGGTTATCAGCCCAGCTTATAACCCACTATGCTACCAGAACTCCTTGTTAGTGGGTGTGTTGGGCTGCAAAGTTGCAGGGAGCTAGGCTTGATTCCAGAGTGGTGATCTTCAGGCTCCCTGGGAAGTTTCCTACTAGTGGTCCTGTGGTGCCATCTGGTGTCAGAACTCTGCAAGTACATGTCATAGCATGTGCTCAGTGTCCTGGCCTGGGCAGGGTGTCTGAGAGAAAGGCATTTTAGCCCAGAAGGTTCTTTCTTGGATATTATTTCACTACATCGGGTTTGTGTTTTAAAATAACATTTTTGTGTGTTTTGGAGAAGATTTGCACAGAAGTTTAGGTTCCCAGTCAACAATTTTTACACAAGTCATTCAATGATACCAGTTGTGTTCTTCACAATGTTTGGACAATCTCCTGGTTTCCATTCTGGTTGTTCTGTTTCCATGAATCTAGTCTCCCTACTCCATTATCCTTTCATCTTTGTTTTAAAATTGTTGTTGACCACTTGGTCTCATAGAGGTGATTTTTAAAAGGAGCACTGTACTTCTGGGTGTGTTTTTTGAGGCACTCTGTTATTTAGCTTCAAGGTGAGTTCAGGAGCTACTTTGAGTTCAAGGTTGAAAGAGTTCAAGGAGCCTTCAAAAAGTTCATGGAAAGATTGCATTATTTTTTGTTCCAACTTTTCCAAAAACTTTTTGAAGCCGTTTCGTATCTCTAGACAGAGAGTCTTAGTTACCCCTCCAGTCTCAACCAATGAGGTAGGTCTGTTTTTTGTTTTTAGGACTGTGAGGTCCTGTGACCCGTTTACCATCCATTCTGTCAGTGACTTCATGAGAGCAGTTGGTGGTGGTAGCTGGGTAGCATCTAGTTCTTCTGGTCTCAGGGTAGAGCTGACCAAGATTCATGTAGACAGTTTGTCCTGAACGAGCTGTTTTATCTAAGTCTTTGCTTTCCTTCATTCTCTTTTGCTCCGGCCAAGTAGACACCAGTAGTTAGTTGCCTCTTGAGGGCTTGTTCTCGCAAATTAGGAAAAACTGGGGTTCCAAGGCATCAAGTGAACTGTCTGAGTCACATGACCCAGAAAGCAAGGAGACAACCAGGCAGGAAGTTCTGACTCTTTGTCTCGTGTTCTCTGCAGGGATCACCAGTGCCAGCAGGCATTTCTGTAGCATTCAGACTTCAGCAAAGTCTGAAGACAGATGAGTCGGGGATGCTCTTGGCATCTAGTAGCCGGAGGTCAGAGGTGCTACTAATGATCCTAACTAACAGAATAGTCCCACAACAAAGGTAGTAAGTAAAAGTAAGAGGCAAGACATAATTCTCTCTTCGGGACTTGATTAAGTTAAGAGAGGCAGCCAGGTAACATGAAAAACCATATCCTAACAACTCGAGAATGATGAGCGACTCTGGTTACCAGCCTTTGCTGTTGTGAAGTGCAGTCGATTCTGTTCCCACAGATAGCCACCCCGTATAGGATTTCCAAGGAGCAGCTAGTGGGTTTGAACTGCCGACCTTGTGGTTCGAAGTCCAGTGCTGATCCTACAGTGCCACCCCGGGCCTTCAGCAGCCTTAGGAATCTGGATTTTACCCGGCCTTAAGGCCATCCTTCTGCCTCAGTGGTGCTGTAGTATCAGCATTAGACAGGAATGGAGAGGTCGGCAATTCCAATCCACCACCCGATCCTCGGAAGAAAGATGAGGCTGGCTGCTCCGGTGAAGATTTACAGCCTCAGAAACCCTCACAGAGTCACTATGAGTCTGAATGAATTCAGTGGCAGTGAGTTTTGAAAACAAGGACATACTTTGGGTACTTAGAGGGGCAGAGATAGGATTCAATGAGTGAGCCTCTCTCGTGTGAGTGTCAGGATTCCCAGGCCACCTTTATCCTGGGATCTTTTTTCTCCTTTCCAGAAGATATGCTGCCGTCGCAAAGTCCCGGATATAAGACACTGCTTTGCAAGCATGTCAGAAAGGGTAGGGGTACTGAGCCAGGCCTTAACTTTTCTTTTACATCCTGACCCTGTGTCAGTGTTCCTGTAGCTTTCAGCTCACACACACACACACAAAAAAAACAAGTGTCCCGTGGGATTCCGTAGGCTGCAGAGCCACGAGGGCATTGCTAAGAGTGGGACAGGAGCTTTTGACACATGATAAAGTGATAGAGCTACTGCACGCCCGAGTCAGTGACACGCTCCATATTGCCTCTGTGTTGAGCATGCTGGATGAGAAGTCAGGCTGTCTGGATGGCTGACCCCTCTGTCAGTCAGTTGTCAATAGACCCGGACTTAGAAAAGATACCCGAGCCGGTTCAGTCTGGCCTCACCGTGGGTCTCAGGTCAGTTTCAAAGTAGGAAGTAGCTGGACAGTGACTTACATCAGAACACCTGGACTCTTCCCTTTGGGCAGGTAGTCGTCTCCTTGCTGTGTAAAACCACCTTCACGTTGTTCTAAAACTCCATTGCAGGACCCCCAGAGCCTCCGTGCACTTCGTTAGCCTACACTTTCCATCCAACGTGACCCACTTTGTAAAACAGTTCACACCCTATGGAAAGAGTCTGAAAATGGCATTTCTAGATGTTGTCCATTGAAACTCACGGTTCAGCCTGGAACCGTTTTGCCCCCTTGTGGACATTTGATGATGTCTGAAGACGTTTTGTGTTTTCCCACTTGAGAGGTGTTACTGACATCTAGTGGGCAGAGACTAGAGAAGCAGCTACAGGGTATAGTCAAACTCAAAAAACTACTCCTTGTAATCAATTCGGACTCATAGTGACCCTGAGTAGGGTTTCTGGGGCTGTAAATCTTTATGGGAGCAGAAAGCCTCATCTTTCTCCCCCAGAATGGCTGGTGGGCTTGAACTGCCAACCTTGCTGTTAGTCTGTTGCTGTTTGTTAGGTACCGTTGAGTCGGTTCAGACTCGCAGCGACCCAGAGCGAACACTGCCTAATCCTGCTCCAGCCTCACATGTGAGCTCCTTGCTGTTGCCACTGTGTTAGTTCATCTCGTTTGGGGTCTTCCACTTTTTCACTGACCCTCCACTTTGCCAAACATGATGCTCTTCTCCAGGGCCTAGGCCCTCCTGATAACAAGTATGAGAGATGAAGCCTGACCATCCTCACATCTAAGGAGTGTTCTGAATGCACTGTTTTCCTAGACATTTGTTTGTTCTTCTGGCAGTCCATGGCATTTTTAATATTATTCTCCAACACCAGAATTCAAATGTATCATTCCTACGGCCTTCCTTATTCACCCACCGATTTTCATATGCATATGAAAGATCAAGAATTCTGTGGCTTAGGTCAAACCCACCCACTTTAGTCCTCAAACTGATATGTTTGCTCTTTAGCTTTTTAAAGAGCTCTTGTGCAGCAGATTTGCCCAATGCAATAAGTCATTTGATGTTTTCATTGTTGCTTTAATGAGTGTTGATTGTGGATCCAAGCAACATAAAGACTTCGAAAACTTAAATCTTTTCTCCATTTATCATGATGTTACTTGTTGATCCAGTGGTGAAGATTTTTGTTTTCTTTACATTGAAATACACCATCTATATTGAAGGCTGTGCTCTTTGATCTTAATGAGTATTTTTAAATCTCTTTGCGTTCAGCAAGCAAGGTTTTATCATCTGCATATCACGGGTTATTAATAAGGCTTCAGCTGGTTGTGATACAACATTCTTCATATAAATCTTCTCAGATTATTTGTTCAGCAAATAATGTTTGAATAAATATGATGAAAGGATACAACCCAGGCACACAACTTTCCTGATTTTAAACCCTTTGGTGTTCCCTTGTTCTGTTCAAACAACTGCCTGTTCGTCTATGTACAGGTACTTCATGAGCACAATTAAGTGTTCTGGAATACCCTTATTTTGCAATGTCTTCCATAGTTTGTCATGACCTACATAGTCGAAAGCCTTTGCATAGTCAATAAAGCACAAGTAAACATCTTTCTAGTATTCTCTGCTTCCAGCCAAGATCCATCTGATGTCAGCAATGGTATCCCTTGTTCAACGTCCTCTTCTGAATCTGATTTGTACTGTCAATGTACTGTAACAATCATTTTTAAATTATCTTCAGTACAATGTTACTTGCATATGATATTACTGATATTGATTGATGATTTCTGCATTCCTCTGGGTCCCATCCCTTTGTAATGGTCACAGATACGGATCTTTTCCAATCCCTTGGCCAGGTAGCTGGCATCCATATTTCCTGGTACAGACAAGTACTGCATCAGTTTGTTGAAAGATCTCAGTGTGTATTCAATCAGTTCCTGGAGCCTTGTTTTTCACTAATGCCTTCAGCGCCACTCATACGTCTTCTGAAGTACCATCAACTCTTAATCATAGGCTCCCTCTTGAAACGGTTGGGCATCAACCATTTCTTTTTGATACAGTGACTCTGTATTCCTTCCGTCTTCTTTTGATACATTCTGCATCTTTGGGTATTTTGCCCATAGAATTCCATCAGTATCACAAGTTGAGACTTCAATTTTTTCCTTCAGTTCTTTCAGCTTGAGAAATGTTGAATGTGTTCTTCGCTTTTGGTTTTCTAACTCCAGGTCTTTGCACATTTCATGATTTGATTTGGTCTTAAACTGCCCTTTGAAATTTTCTGTTCCGCCCTTAACCTGTGCCAACCTCACAATCATTGTTAGGTTTAAACTCATTGCTGCTGCCACTGTGCTAAGCCATCTCGTCGGGTGTCTTCCTCTGTTTGGTTGATGCTTTACTTTACCAAATATGATGTCCTTCTCCAGGGACTGGTCCCTTCTGATAATATGTCCAGATTATGAGAGACGAAGTCTGGCCATCGTGACTGTACTTCTTCCAAGAAAGATTTGTTTGTTCTTCTGACAGTCCATGGTACTTTTAATATGCTTTTCCTACACCGTAACTCAAATGCATCAATTCTTCTATGGTCTTCCTTACTCACTGTCCAGCTTTCACATGCATATGAGGCTATTGAAAATACCAAGGCTTTGGTCAGGAACACCTTAGTCCTTAAACTGACATCTTTGAACACGGTAAAAAAGATCTTGTACAGAAGAGTTGCCAAATCTATACATCTCTTGATTTTTGTCACTGCAGCTTCCGTGAGCATTGATAGTGGATCCAACTTCAGTCTTGTCTCCATTTATCAGGGTGTTATTTACTGGTCCAGTGGGTTTTGTTTTCTTTATATTGAGGTGCAACCCATACTGAAGGCTGTGGTCTTTGATCTTCACCAGTATTTTAAGCCATCTTCACTTTCAGCAAGCAAGGTTGTGTCATTTGCCCTTTACAGGTTGTTAATGAGTCTTTGTAGCGCTGTGGGTTAATGCGCCAGACTGCAAAGCCATTTGAACTGCAAGGCTGGTGGTTCAAGCTCACCAGCCGCTCCTCGGAAACCCTATACAGGATTGCTGTGGGTCGGGATCGACTCGACGGCACTTAACAACAACAACAACGAGTCTTTGATGCCATGATGTTTTCCATATAATCCATCTTTTTGGATTATTTGCTCAGCATACAGATTGAATAAGTATGGTGAAAGAGTACAACCCTGACACACACCTTTCCTGATTGTAAGCCATTCCATGTCCCTTTGTTCTGTTTGAGCAACTGCCTCTTGATTCATGTATAGCTTCCTTATGAGCACAACTAAATGTTCTGGAATACCCATTCTTCACAGTGTTATCCATAGCTTGTCATGATCTACATAATCAAAAGCCTGTGCATAGTCAGTAAAGCACAAGTAAACATCCTTCTGCTATTTTCTGCTTTCAGCCAAGAGCCATCTGACATCAGCAATGATGGTCCTCATTTTGTGTCCTCATGTGAATCAAGCTTGAACCTCTGGAACTTCAGTGTACTGTTGCAGCCATTTTTGAATTCTCTTTAACAACATTTTACTTGCATGTGATATTAATGATAGTGTCCAATTTCGTCATTCCGTTGGCTCCCCTCTCTTTGGAATGGCACAGAAATGCATCTCTTCCAGTCAATTAGCCAGGTAATTGTCGTCCAGATTTCTTGGCATAAACAAGTGAATGCCTCCGGTGTCCACAGCCGCATCAGTTTGTTGAAAGATTTTGATTTATATTCCATCTATTCCCAGTGCCTTGTTCTTTTCCGGTAACTTCAGTGCACCTTGGACGTCTTCCTTTAGTATCTTGATCATATGCTACTTCTTGAAATGGTTGAACAGCGACCATTTGTTTTTGGTATGATGACTCTCTGTATTCCATCCATCTTATGTTGATGCTTTCTGTATCATTTACCCATAGAATCCTTCAATATTTCAAGTCGAGACTTGAAGTTTTACTTTGGTTCTTTCAGTTTGAGAAATGTTGAGTATATTTCTCCCTTTTGGTTTTCTAACTACAAGTCTTTGCACATTTCATTATAATACCTTACTTTATCTTCTCAAGCTGCCCTTAGAAATTTTCCATCCAACTCTTTTGCATCCTCATGTCTTCCATTTGTTTTATCCTCTCTATACTGGAGAGCAAGTTTCAGAGTCTTTTTTTTAAATGCTTTTTTGTCTTTTCTTTCTTACTTGTCTTTTTAATGACATTATTATACTTTCTTCCTGGATGGTGTTCTTGATGTCATCCCACAAATCCTCTGGTCTTGAGTCATTAATGTTTAATGCATCAAATATGTTCTTGAGATGATCTCTGACTTCAGGTAGGATGTGTCCAAGGTCATATTTTGGCTCTTGTGGCCTTGTTTTAATTGTCTTCAGCTTCAGCCTGAGTTTGCAAATGAGCAATTGATGGTCTGTTCCACAGTCTGTGCCTGGAGCAGCTTTTTCTTCGTTTCTTCTCACAGATGTGGTCAATTTGACTTATGTGTATTCCATCTAGTGAAGTCCATGTGTATAGTTATCTTTCATGTTGTTTAAAAATGGTGTTTGCAATGGATTAGTCATTGGTCTTGCAAAAATTCTATCATGTGATCTCCAACATTGCTTCTGTCATCAACACCATATTTTCCAACTAGTGATCCTTCCTCTTTGTTTCCAACCTTCCCATTCCAATCACTTGTAATTATCAATACATCTTGATTGCATATTTAATCAATTTAGACTAAAGAAGCAGATAGAATTCTTAAGCTTCATCTTTACTGACTTTACTGTTGGTGCGTAAACCCATGCCTACAGATCTTACTTGTAGGCATGTGGATCCTATCCTATCACAGACAGCATTGTACTTCTAGATCTTGGAATGTTCTTTTTGACAACGAATATAATACCATTCCTCTTGAATTTGTCATTCCCAGCATAGTAAACCATAGGATTATAAGATTCAAAATGGCCAATACCAGTCCATTTCAGCTCTGATGATACTGGGATTCTCCCGAGATAGTCAGTTTGATTCCTGTGTATTCCATTTGTTGAGGTCCATGTGTATAGTCCAAAAAAAAAAAAAGACATTTTCAATGAGTAAGTTGTTGATCTTGCAAATTTCTATCATGCGTTCTCAAAGCTCTATTTTCCAACTACTTTTGTTTTCTCTTTGTTTCCAACCTTCGTGTTCCAGTCACCGGTAATTATCAATGCATCTTGAGTGCATGTTTTACATTGAAGAAGTTGCTATCATTCTTCAGCTTCATCATCACCGGTTTTAATTGTTGGTGCATAAATTTGAATAACCGATCTTCCTTGTAGACATATGTATATTATCCTATCACAGACAGCGTTGTACTCCAAGATAGATCTCGAAATCTTCTTTGTGACAATGAATGTCATGCCATTCCTCTTGAATTTGTCATTCTCATCATAGTAAACCATATGACTGTCTGATCCCAAGTGGCCAATACCAGTCCATTTCAGCTCACTAATGCACAGGATTATCTATCTTTATGCATTCCATTTCATTTTTGACAATTTTCCTAGATTCATACTTTGTGCATTCCACATTCTGGTTATTAATGGATGTTTGTAGCTGTCTTCTCATTTTGAGTTGTGCCTCATCAGCAAATGAAGGTCCCGAAAGCTTTGCTCCATTCATGTCATTATGGTTACCTCTTTGAGATTGCAGCTCTTTCCTAGTCGTATTTTGAGTGACCTCTAACCTGAGGGACTTGTCTTCTGGCCGCATAGCTTACAGTTTCCCACTTCTATTCATAAGGTTTTCAGTTACTAACCATTCAGGAGTAGTCCACCTCTCCTTCTTCCTAATCTGTCCTCGTCTGGAAGCTCAGCTGAAACCTGTCCACCACGGGTGATCCTGCTGGTGTTTAAAATACCGGTGGCATAGCTTCCAGCATCCCAGCAACACCCAAGCCCCCACAGTACAGCACACTGACAGACGAGGGGTACCATCCTCCAGAACCATGCCAGGACTCCAATGCTTGGACCCCATAATTATCTGGTCCCAAAGATCTGTAGTACCAAGGCTGAGAAACACAGATGTGGAGGGCAGGGGGACTCCACCTAACAGAAACCCCTCTATTTAAGGATGCTGTATCCTGTGGTTATTCTAGGCGTCCACTTGCGTAACTTGCACACGTACAGTACCACAGAGATGAGATGCCGCTACTGTCCTGCCGTCTTCCACGAGCGCTACCCCCTCATCCAGCACCAGAAAACTCACAAGAATGACAAGAAGTTCAAGTGTCAGCACTGCAATTATTCCTGCAAGCAGGTACTGGGCTCAGTCGATTTGGGACGCGGTGGAACGCCCATGAAGGCGAGGTTGGGGTGGTGTTCTCCATCACTTTGAAAAGATTTTACAGCTTCATACTTTTGTATAATAGAGGAGTTCCCGAGTGGTGCAAACAGTTAACATGCTAGGCTGCTTGCTAACCAGAAGGTGTAGCAGGTGCCTTGGAAGAAACACCTGGCTGGCTGTTTTCTAAACATCAGCCATTGGAAACCATGTGAAGCGCAGCTGTGCACCAACAGTGGAGTCTCATGAGCTAGGGTCCATTTGTGGGAAGCGGTTTGGTTTTATTATGATTTTATTTTGTATAAAATCTGGAAGCAACCATGAGCTATGCATTAGAGCAGCTGTTCTCGCTGAGGTTCATGGGGCCCATGCGCCCACGTATCCACGAGACCTGAACTGCTGTCTCCATCATGCCTTTGTTGCTGTGTTGGTGGTGGCATTCTGTTGAAAGTGGGAGCAGTGACCCGTGTTCTCTACCTCCGTGCCCTCACAGTGAAAGGCAAGTCCGCAAAAAGTATGTTTGCCGTACAGACCCTCGGTGTGAATACATGTGGTGAATGGGGACACTTACATAGAGCCCCTGCCTGTCTTCCTAAGCGCACGCGTGTGAGGAGGAAAAGGGTGTGTCCAGAGGCTGTTTAGGCCGCGAACTAAACGGCAGGTCTCCAGGGAGCCCCACTTGAACTAATGGCAGGCCGGTGATGCGTACTTAGTTGTGGGATGTTTGGTGGGCATTTTCTCCAAAACAAACAAAGTGAGCCTGTCATTTCCAGGGTAACTTTTGCTGTCAATGATCCCGAATCAGTTTTCAGGAGAAAATTAGAGTCAGACCATTCAGATTTTGAAACGCATATGAGTCCCGGTGTGGCGCTGTAGGTTCATGTGCTGCGCTGCAAAGTCGGTTTGAACTGCAAGGTCGATAGCTCAAGCTTACAGTCACTCCTGGAAACTCTATATGGGGTCACTATGGGTCAGAACCGACTCAGTGGCACTTCACAACAACAACAACAACAACAATGCTCCTAAAGTTCTGGTAGGTCAGTATTGGGCTGCTAACTGCAAGGTTGGCAGTTCAAACCCACCAGCTGCTCCTTGGAAACCCTCTACACGGTTGCTGTGAGTTGGAACCAACTGGAAAGCACTTAATAACATCTGCTCCTGCGAGTGTGCGAGTTTTCTAACCCTTAAAGACTTTTCAGATGAGATGGGCAATTTAAGCAAATCTGCTGCATGAAACCTTTTTAAAGTATTGAAGAGCAGAGATGTCAGCGTGAAGACTTAAGGTGCGCCTGACCCAGGCCATGGTATTTTCAATAACCTCCTATGCATGAGAAAGCTGGACAGTGAATAAGGAAGACCATAGAATAATTGATACATTTGAGTTATGATGTTGGAGGAGAATATTGAAAATGCCATGGGCTGCCAAAAGAACAAACAGATCTGTGTTGGAAAAAGTGCAGCTAGAGTGCTCCTTGGAGGCCAAGATGGCCAAACTTCGTCTCTCATACTTCGGACATATTGTCAGAGGAAATAGTCTGGAGAAGGATATCATGTTTGGTAAGGTGGAGGGTCAGAGAAAAAGAGGAAGACCCCCAGCGAGATGGACTGGCAAAGTGGCAGAATCAATGGGCTCAAGCATGGCAACAATTGTGAGGTTGGCCCAGGACCGGGCAGTGTTTCGTTCTGTTGTGCATAGGGTCGCTATGAGTCGGTACCGACTCGATGACACCTACCAACAACAGTGAGATGTGTCATCGTTCAGAGGTCTCTATAACACCACACACAGGTACTAGTGCACGGTGTTACAGAATCAGACACTCGAAGCAGAAGACAGGCCAGTGGGTTCTAACAGAGCCAAGAGCAAAATGTTCACTGATGTGTTTTCAGGGTCCACACTGGTAGCCAGCCTTTAAAAAGTTCCCACTTGTTGAGTTTTGGTGTAATATCAAAGAAGAATGTCCACAATTATTTGAGAAAGCTATGAAAATTCGCCTCCCTTTTCTAACGGTGGCTCTGTGACACTAAATTTCCTCCGTGTGTTTTAACTGTAACAATATCTACTGGCAAACCAAAGGCAGAGGCCGAGAGGAGATCCCAGCAGTGTTCTTAGCAGAGCTGCTGAGGACTTCCAGTGGAGCAGTGGGGGAGCGTTTAGACCTACCAGGAGAAAAGGCCTAGGGACCAGCTCATGTAAAGTGCCTGGAGCACACTACGAAACCCTTCAGCTCTGCCCTACCGAGTGCAGGCTTTCTGTGTCAGAGTCAACTCAACAAAACAACAGGCTGAGCAGGGATCTCTGGGGAGCACAAGCGGTGAGCCAGAGGCACTGCAGAAGAAAGACCTGGTGATCTGTTTCTGAAAGGTCACAGCCGTGAAACCCAGGGAGCAGTTCTGTCTCCTCTGCACATGCGACAGCAACTATCAACAATCAAACCAGGCTGAGCAAAGAAAAAGGTGCAAGTGAAATTTGAATTTTGGATAAACAATAAACAGGTTTGTTGGCTTTGTGTGTGTGTGTGTTGTTGTTGTTGTTTTATCCATAAGTAATTCACAAATATTGCAGCCTGTGTTTTTAAACTGGAAATCTTACGTATTAAGCCAAACATATGCAGAAATATAAAACGAGACCATTTTCTCACTAAATGGCTTTGTTTTGAAAAAACATATTTTTTTTTTGCAGAAATATGTTATGCATGTTAAAATGTAGTCGGTTTCTTATTTTAAAATAAATGGGATAAACAATTTTGCTTGAATTTCTCAGTTTCAAAGTCTAAGTTGGTAAATAATAATAGATACCCTACCACCACACACACACACACACACACACACACACACTTAAACAAAAGCTCTTTGGGGTTCTCAGGCATTTTTGAGGGCATAAAGGAGTAGCGTAGTGGTTACGAATCGGGCTGTGAACCATAAGGTCAGCAGTTCGAAACTACCAGCTGCTCCGCGGGAGAAAGATGAGGCTTTCTACTCCCGTAAGGATTTACACCCTCGGAAACCCTGTACAGGGTCGCTATGGGTCGGAACTGACTTGAAGGCACTTAACAACAACAACAACAACAACAACAAAGGAGTCTCAAGCAGCGTGTGCACTTGTGACTATTTTACCACTGGTGACAAAAGTTAGCAATCGTCACGTATTGTGCTTCCTAGTGTGGGCTGGAAATAGTCAATGCTTTGAGTAAAGGAGAGGGAATTTTTTTTCTAACAGATTTTTAAACATTAGACTAGTCTGTGACTCCGGGGTAAGATTTGTTTAAAAGGCACTTGGAGAGTGTCCTGGGAGCTGCAGATGAAATTGGAGAGGAGGGTCATTCCAGATGGAAGCTCCCGGTGTTTGGGGGAGTCATGAGACCCAAGTGTGCCTTGGATAGGGTCACATGCGGGAAGTGAAGCGGGGACTTTGTGGTGTGAGATAAACAACCCTGGTCCTAGGCAATCAGGGGTGCACTCCCAGATAGGGGTGATGAGAAAGGGGTTCGGTTTTGTGATGATAGAAAGATTGGAAGGCAGGCCGTCAGTTTGGTCGTTAACAGTCCTGCAGAAATACTTGTGGTCATAACCTGAATAATCTCAGCATTTCCAACCAAACAATGAAACGTGTACTTGGGTTTTACTTGACTCCACAAATAGCTTTCTTCTCACCCCCACCCCCTGAATTGTGGCGTCCTGGTGTGCTACTGCAGGTTATTGCGCTGGGCCACAAAGTCGGTGGTTCAAGTTAACCCGTCGCTCCTCAGAAACCATATACAAAGTCACTGTGTGTCAGAACTGCATCAAGGGTCCTTAACAACAACAGCAACATAGCCCACCACAGGGACAGCTCCCTTCCCACAGGGCAAGTCCTGCTATGATGCTGAAGAATTAACCCTGGACTGCTAACCACAAGATTGGTGGTTCAAACCCACCTCAGAAACCCTATGCAGGCTTGCTGTGAGTCAGAACTGATTCGAAGGCACTTATTATCAACAACATAAATCTAAAAAAAAAAAATTTTATCATGTCTGGCTAAGAACAATGATTTTTACCCTCGTGTTTCTAGCCTGTTTTAAGATGTGTTCATATGATAAGCACTGGACTACAAACTATAAGGATGAGGCTTTCTGCTCCTGTAAAGATGTACAGCCCTGGAAACCCTGTTCAGGGTTACTGTGATTAGTAACCGAGTCCACGGCACACCACCACCGCCTGTACTATTAGAAAGCAGGAGAGGGACATGTAGGCACCAAAAGTACTTCAGCCCCATCTGAATTGAAACTCTGGCATTGTTTTTAAGTTTACAGCTCTTTGTGAAAACTCAGGCTACTAAAAAATTTATGATACGAGGCGTCCTCAAAAAGTTCTTGGGAAACTGAGATGAAAGAATAGTGGAATTTTTCCACGACCATATTGCAGCTCCCTCATGTAGAAGTCGGGTTCCAAATACACAGCTTCTGTTGGAGGAGAAAATGTTTGATGTAGAGTCGATTACAACTCAGTGATTCCGTGTTTCCGAATAGAACTGCCTCAGAGGCTGTCATCTTTATGGAAAAAACCCTGGTGATGCAGTGGATGAAGTGCTGGACTGTTAACCAAAAGATCCAAGGTTCTAACCCAGCAGCCATCTTTTTTGGAAAAAAGACGAGGCGGTCTGCTCCCATAAAGATTTACAGACTCAGAACCATAAACCTCTGTCCTAGGAAGTCATGAAGTAAGTCCTGGTGTGGTGCTGTAGGATAAGCACCGGACTGCAAGGTTGGTTTGAACTTCGGGGTCAATGATTCAAATCCACCAGACGCTCCTTGGAAATCCTATGCAACCCTAAACAACAACAAACAAAAGGGACTACTGGTGTGCGCTGTAGGGTCATCACTGGACTTCAAACCGCAAAGCCAGCAGTTGAAACCCACCAGCTGCTCCTCGGAAGCCCTATACAGGGTCACTAGGAGTCAGAACCGACTCGACAGCACTTAACAACAACAATATAGGATCGCTATGAATCAGAATCCATCCAACAGCAGAGGATTTGGTTTCATTTTGGCTTAACCCTTATGGGAAGGAGTCCTGGTGGCACAGTGGGTTAAGCATCAGACCACTTGCTGAAAGGTCAATGGTTCTAACCCACCAGCTACTCCACAGGAGAAAGATGAAGTTATCTGTTGGCAGTGTAATGGTTACAAATCGGGCTGTGAACCTTAAGGTCAGCAGTTCAATGCTATCAGCTATTCCCTGGGGAAAAGATGAGGCTTTCTGCTCCCGTAAAGATTGTCAGCCTTGAAAACCCTGTGCAGGGTCGCTATGAGTCGGAACCGACTCCTCGGCACATCATGACAACAACGATAAAGATTTGCAGTTCTACTGTGTCTCTAAGGCCGTGATAATTCAGAACTCAATGGCAGAGGGGTTCTGGGAGATCGCCAGGTCTTTGTCCTGAAGAACCACTTGGTGCGTTTGAACTGCCAGCCTTTCAGTTAGTACTCAACTGTTTCACCTTGTGCCACCCAGAGACTCCTCTGGCAGAACGAACTGTTGAGGTTGGGTGCTGTCAAATGGATACCGACATACGGTGACTTCGTTGACATTGTAGAACTGCCCTGTACAGTTTACTTGGATGTCAATTTTTACAGAAGCAGGAGCTCTGGTAGCGTAGTGGTTACGAATCGGGCTGCAAACCGCAAGATCAGCACTTCGAAACTACCAGCTGCCCCGCGGGAGAAAGATGAGGTATTCTGCTCCCTTAAAGATTTACAGCCTCGGAAACCCTGCACAGGGTCGCTATGAGTTGGAACCGACTCCACGGCACATAACCACCAACCACCAGATCCCCAGGTCTTTATCCCACAGAGCTCGTGGATGGGTTCGAACCATCAACCTTCTTGTTCAGCAGCTAAGTCCTTAACTGTTGTGCCACCAGAGCTCCTTAACTAGACTAAAGGGACCATATTAAGAGATTGGTCAAGGTTTGTCAGCACACTTACCTTTGGGAAGTGAAAAAATGTATTACACAATCAATAACGTCTAATACTAAAAAACCCTTCAAATAGACTTTACATAGATAAACTGTGCCCTCCCACCCCCACTCCCCAGGAGCATCAGGTGAGAGTTCACATGCATAGCCACACTGGAGAGAAACTTTTGTCTGCCTTTCCTGCAATAAACATGATTCCAGTTTCATCCTGACTGTTTCCAAGTGCCCCAAATGTAGCAAAGCCTTTTCCCACTGGGTAAGCGCACTTACAGGGACCCGTGGTGGAATTCTAGCCCTCCATGCAGGAGACCCCCATAGACCCCCCTCGTCTATCGGTGTGATGCTGAGCAGGGTTCAGCGGAGCTGGTAGACTAAGATGAGAGAGAGAAGAAAGCCTGAAGATCTAGCCTGAAACCAGCCAGTGTAAACCTCATGGATGACAACGGTCTGACCCGGCTATGACTGGGACCAACCTCAGCAAGCAATAGCAACCTGACTTCAGTCATGATGAATCCTCCAGAAAGATCCCTTTAATTCAAGGGCATTGTCACACTTGGAGATTTCAGACCTTCCTTTAGAAACTTGCCAAGACATAGAGTCGCAACTGCCCTATCTTAAAGAAAGTGCTTATTAAATTTTGGAGAGATGGCCACAAAACTCTTAAAGACTCTTGTGAAAGAATGATCTTCCCTCCCTGGAGACAGAACAGCCCTACACATGGAATCTTGGAAATGCTTTTAAGAAGTTCTCAGATCTTCTAAACCCCTGTGCAAACAACCGCTACTTTTAGGTGGTGGTTTTATGTAAAGTGCCGTCGAGTCAGTTCCAATTCATGGCAACTCTGTGTATACTTTCAGAGGAGCAGTTGGTGGGTTTGAACCACCAACCTTGTGGTTAGCAGCCCAGTGCTTGTCCTACAGCATCACACCAGAAGTTTCTACTTTCAGATTTGAAATTTTGCATTTCAAAACTGCGCTTACTTAATGAAGGAGATTTGGGCCACTCCACAGAGAGGACGCCGTTTTCTAAACAGTTTTAGATGTTCTTAAGAACAGTGCTTTGGGTACTGTGCTAAGAAATTTTACTTTTTCTGTGTATTTTATTAATTATCTGATACAGAATAACAAATTACCGCTAAGCATGATGGGTTTAAACAATAACAAATTACCACCAAGCATGATGGGTTTAAATAACAAACCTGTATTTGGTCAGGTTCTGTGAGTTGGGAATTTGAGAGTGGACAGGCTGCGTGGGCTGGCTGAGGGTCTCTAATGAGGTTGCAGACAGGATGTCTCTTGGCTGGGGCTGTGATCATCTGGCTTGACTGGAGCTGAAGGAGCCACTTCCAAGATGGTGGCTCCCTCACGTGATTGTTGGCATGAGGTCGTGGGTCCTTGTCCAGGAGACCTTTCCATAGGACTGTTTGAGAGTCCTTAAGACATGGTAGTATCTTCCCCCAGAGTGAGTAGTCCAAGAGAGAGCGAGAAGGAAACTGATTGCTTTCTTGGCCTGGTCTTCGAAGCAGGACACCATTACTTCTGTTCATTAGAAGCAAGTCCCTATGTCTAGACCCCACTCAAGGGAAAGGGACTGAAGTCCTTCTTGAAGAGAAGAGTACCCAAAAGTGTACAGACATCTTAAAACCATCACAAATGGAGTATATAGATTTCTGGGCAGTACGCTTTGGTCCAACATTATTAGTTCAAAATTCTAAATAAAAGTGGCAATATGGTAAAAATAGTATCATTAATACTGAGTTAAATAAAGAAACTATCCTTTGGTAGTAAAAAGACAAAGAAAGAAAGAAAGCAGAGAAAAGAATGAATCTGTCTTAGTGAGTTCCTCAGAACAAGCAAATGAAAAGCTTAACGCTGTTTTCTACCATTCAGGAAAGCACATCTGTCCCTGCGTCTGTCATGTATAAAGAACATGTGTCTGTCATGTATGAAGAACCAGTGTCTGTCATGTATAAAGAACCGGTGTTTGTCATGTGTAAAGAACCTGTGTCTGCCATGTGTAAAGAACATGTTTCTGTCATGTATAAAGAACCTGTGTCTGTCGTGTATAAAGAACCTGTGTCTGTCATGTATAAAGAACCTGTGTCCGTTGTGTATAAATAACACGGGTCTGTCGTGTATAAAGAACTCCCCCTGTAAGTCAATACTGAAAAGTCAAGTGACACACCCACCTATGGACAGCTGGTCTTCAACAGAGGGTCCAAGCCCAATAAGGGGGGAAGAAAAAGTTTCTTTAACAAACATTAACAGCAGAAAAATTAAATGAGTTCTATACCTCTCACCAAACATAAAAATGAACTCAAAATGAATCAAAGACCCCAAACTATAAAGATTATGGAACAAAAATGGAGTCAACACTAAAGACCCTAATGTATGGCAGAAATGGAATACCAAATGTAGCTAATTGTGCACAAACAGCAGAGGGTGAGCTAGAAAACCGAGATCTAAAAAGTAAACGCTACATTCACCAGAAGACTTCACCAAAAGAGTACACAAAGAGAACCTACAGACGGAGGCAAATTTTTGGCTACAACATCGCCAACAAGGATCTCTAGTCACTAAAATGTGTAGAAAACTTCAGCACCTCAACAACAAAAAACAATCCAATTTTAAAAATTGGGCAAAAGATATGAACAGATATTTCACCTAAAGAAAACATCTGATAAATACATGAAAAAAATGCTTGCGATCATTAGTGATTGGAGAGAGCCAACCAAAAACCACAAGGAGATAGCATCGTACCCTGGTCATCATGGCACTGGTCAAAGAAGTCAGAAAACAGCAAATGCTGCCGAGGCTGCTGGGAGATTGGAAACTTAGACACCGCGGCTGGGACTGCAGGAGGGTGCAGCCACCGTGGAGAACGGTACGGCACGTCCTTGTTGTTGTTAAGTGCCGTCAAGTCAATTCCGACCCATAGCGACCCTGGATAGGGTTTCCAAGGAGCGGCTGGTGAGCTTGAACCACCAACCTTGCAGTTCAAATGACTTTGCAGTCTGACGCATTAGCCCACAACACCACACCAGAACTCCTTAGAAGGGTACAAATAGAAACACCATATAATTCAGCAACACTGCTCCTAGAGGAGGAACTCTGGTAGCATAGTGGATTACCAGCGGGGCTGCTAACCGAAAGGTCAGCAGTTCAAATCCAGCAGTCTCTCTGAAGGAGAAAGATGAGGTTATAAATATCTTAAGCCTTGGAAACCCTATACAAGGTGGCTGTGAGTCAGAACTGACTCCAAGGCACACACCCACCACCCACACTTCTAGCATAAGAAGCTGTGGCATGAATAGACATGTTCATCATATATGTTCTTTCTTCTGGTTGTCCATGGTACTTTCAACATTCTCCAAATCTGTAATTCAAATACATTGATTTTTCTAAGTCTTTCTTATTCACTGTCCAACTTTCACATGTATATGAGGTGACTGAAAATACCATGGCTTAGGTCAGGTGCACCTTAGTCCTTCACAATAGCAAAAAGATGGGAATAACCGAAGTGTCCGTCAACAGGTAAATGGATGAACAAACTATGGTATATACTTGTATTTGGTGTGCTGCATCCTGATGCTGAATAGCTAAATGCAATTCGTAAAGATAATCACCCTCATCTAGTGAGTAGCATTTGGGGTCTTAAAAGCTTGTAAGCAGCCATCTAAGAAGCAGCTCTTTGACTCTCGTGTATGTTGTTTTTGTTAAGTGCCGTCAAGTCGGGTCTGACCCATAGCAATCCTGTATAGGGTTTCCAGGGTGCAGCCGGTGAGCTTGAACCACCAATCTTGTGGTTCAAATGACTTTGCAATCCAGCGCATTAACCTACAGTGCCACATAAGGACTCCACCACACCATTCTTGTGCATAGGAGAATGAAAGGAGAGACTTAAGAAAGCAATTAGTCCAAAGGACTGATGGCCTACCTGAACCACAGCCTCCTCCAGCCTTAGAGTGGACTAGATGGTGCCCAGCTATTATTACTACTGAGCTCTCTGACCAAAACCACGGATGAAGGTCCCGGTTAGAATGGGTTAAAAATGCAGAATAAAACTCAAATTAAAAATAAAAAGCCAGACTTACTGGTCTAAAAGAGACTGGAGGCCACCTTTCAGTCAATTAATAGATGGGACTATCAAACGAACTCCAGTGACATGTATGTTCCTTAGAATAGTCATCTATTTGTTTATTATTGTTAGGTGACAACCCATCAGCTCTGACACATAACGACACTATGCACAACCAAATGGTCCTGCGCCATCCTCACAATTGTTACATTTGAGCCCATTGTTGCTGTCACGGTGTCAGTCCATCTCTTTAGGGACCTTCCTCCTTTTCCTGACCCTCCACTTTACCAAGCTCGATGTTCTTCTCCAGGGACTGGTCCCACCTGATCATATGTCTGAAGTCTGAGAGACAAGGTCTTGCCACCTTTGCTTCTAAGGAGCATTCTGACTGCACTTCTTCCAAGACAGATGGTTTTGTTCTCCTGGCATTCTGTGGTATTCTCAGTATTCTTCAACTCCATAACACAAATGCATCAATTCTTCCTAGATCCTCCTTATTCACTGTCCAACTTACGTATGCATGTGAGGTGATTGAAAATACCATAGACTGGGTCAGGTGCATCTTAGTCCTCAACTTCTTCTTCTTGTGTGCCATCAAGTCAGTTCCAACTCATAGCGACCCTGTATAGGGTTTCCAAGGAGTGGGTGGTGAGTTTGAACCGTCGACCTTGTGGTTGGCAATCTCGTGCTTATCCTACAGTGCCACCAGTATAATCAAATGTTTCATAAAAAATACAGAAATGTAAAATAGACAAAAGGGTCTGAATAGAGATTACTCCAGAGAAGGCTTACATGGAAAGAAGGTTAACGTCCTTAGTCACTGGAAAATGCCAAGCACACCCACAGTGAGATACCACTTCCCAGCCACTGGGATGTCTAGCATCAAAAAACAGATCACAGCAAGTGCCGGTGAGGGGGTGGCAAAATCAGAATCTGCGTAACCATTGTGGGAAAGTCTGGAAGTCCCTCCAAAACTTACACATAGAATTACTATATGATCCAGCCGTTGCACTTTTAGATGCATACCCAAAGGAACTGAAAACATGTCCAGATAGAAACTTGTACATGAATGCTTCTAGGAGCCTTATTCACAATAGCCAGTGAGTGGAAACAGCCCAGATGCCCATCAGCTTATAATGGAGAAACCACAGGAGGCGTGCAAGTACAATGGGATGTTATTCTGTCACAGAACGGAACGAAGCATGGATACACAGGTGGGTCCTGAAAGCATGATGCTGAGGGAAACGAGCCAAACACAAAAGACCACTCACTATGTGAATGTCTACACCAGACAAATCCGTAGAGACAAGGTAGCCCGGGGATTGCCAGGTGCGGGGAGAGGGAAATGGGGCAACCATCAACACTCAGCAGTCAAGAGATCAGACGACATATTGCATTGGGCAAATCTGCTGCACAGGAACTTTTTAAAGTGTTGAAGCGCAAAGATGTCAGCTTGAGGACTAAGGTCTGCCTGACCCAAACCATGGTATTGTCAGTAACCTCATATGCATGCGAAAGCTGGACAGTGAATAAGGAAGACCGTAAAATAATTGATGTTTTTGAGTTACAGTATTGGGGGAGAATGTTGAAAGTGCCATCGGCTGCCAAAAGAACCAGTAGATCTGTGTTGGAGGAAGTGCAGCCAGAGTGCTCCTTGGAGGCCAGGATAGCCAAACTTTGTCTCTCATACTCTTGACATATTGTCAGGAGGGAGCAGTCACTGGAGAAGGATATCATGTTTGGTAAGGTGGAGGGTCAGAGAAAAAGAGGAAGACCCTTCCAATGAGATGGACTGGCCAAGTGGCAGCATCGATGGACTCAAGCATGGCAACAATAGTGAGGTTTGCCCAGTATCGGTCAGTGTTTCATTCTGCTGTGCATAAGGTTGCTATAAGTTGGTACTAACGTGATGGTACCTGACAACAATAGTTTGCTGTTGACTCGATGCTGACTTAGAGCAGCTTGGCATAGTATCTACTGCTGCTATCACAGAAACGCTACAAGGGCAGATGTAACACCCAGACACGTGCTCAGTCACAGTTTACGAGGCTAGAAGTCCAAGTTCAGAGTGCTGGCTCCTGAGGACGGCTTCCTCTGTGTCACCTTTGAGGAAGGGTCCTTGTCTCCTTTCAGCATCTATATGCCCAGCATTCCTGAGAACTCCATGCATCATGGCATCCATAGCCTCCTGGCTCCAAGATCTTCCTAGTACAGGGACTCCAGGACCAAAGGACAAACTCCACTGCCGCCCTTCTGTCTTGGTGGCAGTAGGTCCTCTGTCTCTGCTCCACTCTCTTTTTGGATTTTGTAACATCAAAGGTGTTGTAGGCCACATTCTTGGAAATCTCCCATAAATTGGATCAGGGTGGTTGGTGGTGGGATTAAGGGTGGCGTGTTATTGTTAAACGCCATAAAGTCAATTCCAACCGACAGCTACCCTGTGTAGGGTTTCCAAGAAGCAGCTGGTAAGCTTGAACTGCTAACCTTGCATTTCAAACTGACATTGAAGTCCAGCTCATTAACTCACAGCGCCACACCAGCACTCTGGTGTACCCCACCGTTCATCCTCTTACTGGTTTATCCCATGAAATCACATCATGGAGAATAACTATATTTCAACTGCCAAAGCTCTGCAAATCCTGACTCAGTCAAGTTGCCACAAAACCTTACCCGTCACCCAGCCTCATGTGATACAGTGGAACTGCCCC